ATCTTAACACACACAAAACACACTTGGACCCGTTACCTAAAGTCCGTTCAGTAAATCACGCCCTCCCACAACCCACACACAAGAGCGGAGCAAGGCAACGAAACTTAAAATAATAAGCAGCATTTTACGGCGCGCTATGCATGGGGCCGCCTTGGGGGGTTTCCCGACATGTCGTTTCAGTAAATTAAAGGGTGTTTCATGTTGTCGTTGCTGTGAACCTTCTTAATACCTTGGAAAATGCCGTTTAATACTTTTTAATACTTTTTAATAGCCTTAATTTTCGCTAGATTGATTGATCAACTTTTAATACTTTTTAAGACCCCGCGGACACCCTGATATCATATGTTTTGATTATTGATCACTTAAGTGTTATCAAAGCTGGTAAAGGTGCGGCTGGTTTTAATGACTTTGTACACTGCAGGGTAGCTTATAAAGTCTTATCTAAGTGTTGTTTATATTTCACATAATTCATCCAAATCTGTAAAGTAACTAAAGGTATTGTGGAATACAAGTGCACAATGTACCTCTGAATTATAGTGGAGTAGAAGTACAAAGTAAAATAAAATGGACATACTCAATTAAAGTACAAGTATCTCAAAAGTATACTTAAGTACAGTGCTTGAGTAAATGTGCATTGACTTGACACCACCGTTACCCACTGCATCGCTCCTTGCTAGGGGGGAAACCACAAAGTAAGACAACGCAATTTAATGCAAAGGGTTTGATAGTTTTTATATATAGTAAAGCATTTTGGGGGGAAAAGTTTCTCTTTAATAAAAATGTCACAATTAATATGTCATAATAACTACAAACTCTAATATGCTTATAACCTACCACAGACTGCAGTCAGCCATATGAGTCAGCCAGCAGAAAGTACAAGCGGAACTATGTGCACTTCCGGTTTGGTAAGACCGGTGTGTGTTTTCGACGGACTCATGATGACTTCCTGTTATTGGACGCTTTGCTAACGAAAACACGAACGCGTGTTCATTTCTCTCTCAATTTTCCTTTAAAAAGTGAATCTTGAACTCTAGTTTGTAGCTTAGTTTTGTTGAGAGTCCAGATTGGTGAGTAGCGATGCCCAAGTCGGACCGGTCGAGCTCTGACGGCGGCGCGGAGCCTCGCAGTCCCCGGGCCCGCAGACCGCGGACTCGGTCCCGGTCCCGGAGCCGACACCGCAGCGTCAGCCGCGAGAGGAGCCTGTCTCCGTACAGCTTCGGGCCCAAACTTCCGAAGCCCAGGAACCGGGAGAAGGAACACGAAGAGCGGGACCGCCGGTTCAAAGAGGCTAGAAACATCCGAAGGATTCGCATAGGGAGCAGGTCCCGGTCCAGAGAGAGACACAACAACAACAACCCGATCACCAACAACAACAGCCACAGCGGGCACTGGTCCGAGCAGAGGGAAGCACCGGGGAAACACGGCGGCTTCAAAGAAGATTATTACTACGAGGAGCAGAGGGACGACGCGCAGAGACAGAGACAAGACGCCTTTATTGCCAGGTAACACTTACAGATAGATTCCATCCGAATTCCTTTATTATTCCAACACCGTTACAATAATGATAGAGACAAAAAATAAAAACAGTATTTAGTGGCATGCACAAACGTATTTATTATATAAAATCAAATCATAGTTGAAAAGTAATGAAATAGCTGCAGGATTACTTTATTAAATACTATAATTAATAGTAGGGGACCCTCAAAATATAGTCCATAGTATGTGTCAAGCATATAAATGATGGAGCCAACAATTCACGTGACTCTTTTTAAAAGGACCTAGCTTGGTATTACAAATAATAATAATTATTATAAATTCCAGTTCAATGGCACATTTAAAATATATTAACTTAACAGGTTTATTTTGTATTTTTTTAACAGGGTTAATGCACATAGTGTAGTCCCTGGGTAGATGTTGTAAGTCACCCTAAAAGCAAATGTCCTTAAAACGAACAAGTAAATACAATCAGTAAAAATATACAACATAGAGGCTTACAGCACTGGAAATGCTAATACAAATCAATAAAACAAAACATACATATTACTTAGCAAGAAGATAGCAACAGGTTTAAGCAAAGGCAGTCCGGACACACAGAGAGTTGTACAGTACAATTGATTGTTTTGGTGTTGATGTGGAATTTGTTTTTCTGTTGCAGGCGTCTGCAAGAGAGAGAGAAGATCGGTGAGTCGGGTTGTCCTGAAGTTTGGGGATATTCACCGAGAGTAAAAGAGCCAGAGTAAGTCAAGAATCTCTCAAAAAACTATTTTTATATTGTTTTAAAATTCAAAGAACCACACATTTGTTCTCCAAAGTTTTATACGTACATACGTTTTTGTATGTTTCGGTGCAGAAGGTATAATTTTCTTACTTCTGTTTTCCAATAGCTCTGATGAATTCACTCCAGTCGAAGACGAGAAAAACAGCAGTTCAGAATCCAGCTCAGAAGGTAAAGCACACAGTGTTTGGATGTGAATAAATTACATTAAATTGCCTACTGCGAAATGACAAACAAAGTTATTCTTCACAGACGATAAGAAAAAGAAAAAAAAGAAGAAGAAATCCAAGAAAAAGAAGAACAAAAAGCACTCTGAAGACAGCGAGCTGGAGTCAGATTCAGATGGTGCGACAGACATACATTCATTTAAGAAATAATAACCTTTCTTGATTTTTATCAGCTGATATGTTTGTCATTTATTTATATTTCAGAAGAAATAAAGAAAAAGAAATCCAAGAAAAAGAAGAGCAAGAAGTAAGTGCTGAAACGCTGCTGCATATCAGCTTTCTTCACAAAACAAACAAATAAACAAACCCACTTTTTTCCTTACAGGTCAAAGAAGTCCAAGAAGAAGAAGGAGAAGGAGAAGAAGAAGACCCGCAAGGAGTCCAGCCACACCGGCAGTGAGCAGTCAGAGGAGGAGGAGGAGGAGGAAGAGGAGGATCCCAACGCGGTGCTGTGGGTGGAGAAAACCTGCATCGACGAACACATGGTCGGCCCCGAAGCCCCCCTCTCTCAGCTGGAGCAGGACGACAAACCTTTAGAGTAAGACTTTTTATTTCACTTTATGTTCCTTCAAACAATACACAATTTTGATGGAAGCACTGCGGCAGGTTGACTGATAACACGTGATATTGTAATGCTGACGAGTCCTTTTCGATTACAAAAGGGCAACCTTCTGTTGTAATTGCAATTTAAGAATACCAGTAACTCCCAAGTGGATGTCTTCAAGTTTCTTGTTTTGTCCAATGAGTCCTAAAACACCCGAGAACAATAGTAAATGTTTTCAAATGTAAAAGTTGGAAGTGGTACCACGGTATTTTTGTGTTTTTCTGCTTGGGAAATACAGAACTGATAAGACAAATCTTTTTGATTGATTGACTATTGAATTAGTTGATTATTCACACAGCTCTTGAATATTTCCTTTTTTCTTCTTCTTATGAATATGATGACTTTTTGAAATATATAAAAAAGATATATGATGAACTGGTTTTGGATAGTTTGTTGTATAAAACACAACATTTGAAACTGGACTCCCGAAAGAATCATTGGTGTTTTTTCTTATATGTTACAGAACTTATTTTCTTCATTTATGACTCCAGTTTAACAAATGTATTTTTCATTCTCTCCAGTTTTGGTCATGCGCTGTTGCCGGGTGAAGGTGCTGCGATGGCAGAGTACGTGAAAGCAGGCAAACGTATCCCGAGAAGAGGAGAGATCGGTCTCACCAGCTGCGAGATCGCAGATTTTGAGAAGTCTGGCTACGTGATGAGTGGCAGCAGGTACGTCATGTTTAGAAGTAAACTCACATTGGAGTTGATCGGATATTAACTTTCTGGATAATTGGTGATAGATTAAGAATTTAAAATATATGTCTGTTTTTATGAAAGAATATATATTTATGTACAAATAAATAAATATTAGGGCCGGGACTCGATTAAAAAAATTAATCTAATTAATTAGAGGTTTTGTAATTAATTAATCGAAATTAATCGCATTTTTAATCACGTAGTTCTTTATTTATAGAGCCCTGATGAGAAGACCTTTGGAAAAACTGGAAGAAATGCCGCCGAAACTGAATAATTGACGTGGATCATAAATATATCCACAATTAAACAACATCTTCAATTTCTTCAATTTTCTAGAAGGTCAATGATAGAAATATAGAGGAAAAAAAATGAAGAAGACACTGTAAGTGATCTCTACAATAAAACAGTTTAGTGCAGGATGTACAAAGATATTAATAGGAGGAAGTGCAAAACAGAAAAACAATTTAAACTTTATTTAAACATTAAATAATACTTTAGATTAAGTTCTTCTTTTAACTGATATTATACATAACAATTATACTCTTATGTATGTATAAAGTATAAGAAATGTGCAGAATATGACAGTTTAACGGTGGAGGTATACACCATACTTGTCAACCCTCCCGATTTTCGCGGGAGACTCCCGATTTCATTGCCCTCTCCCGGTTTCCTCCCGGGGTCATATTTCTCCCGATTTCTGACAAAATCAGATTTACACACGATTGTTTCCACTCTGACTTTAATACAGCTACACCATTGTTTGGTTTCCATGGTAACACGTCTCTTTAGTAGCGCGCGCAACTCAAAGTCTGAGAGGGTGAGGCAGATATTCACAGAAAACAGAACGAGAATCGACAACTACTCTACTCTCGACTCACTCCTTTCCTGTAAAATACAGGTCCAGCCCACACATATGCTCCATCAAGGACGGTACTACAGGCCGCAAGGCAGTGCACTCCCAACTACAATAAGCATGTTAATGTTAATCTAACAGCTCCGGCGATCCACTAGCACCCTCCCCCCAATTTTGCATTTTGAAATGCTCCCGATTTCTGAGGGCAACTATGGTGTGGGTCCTTGTACTCGGAGTCGGGCTAACGTCCACGCTAGCTTCCACGCTAGCTGCTATATGTTTTGCATTGAGGTGATACTTGAGGCTTGATGTGCTGCGGTGATATGCGAATTTTTGCATAATTTNGGGCCAACCAAAGCGGTCTCATCAGCTTCTTCGTTCATGTTTGACTATTGTTCACTGTGGTTTGTTGTTGTCTGAAGTCATGAACGTTAGTTGGTGCTCCAGTATAATCGGTACGCCTGAAACTCATCCAGTGAGAAACGTTCCGCAGGGCAAAAATAAGTGCGATTAAAATGCGTTAATTTTTTTAACGCGTTAATGTTTGTGTAATTAATTAATCTTAATTAACGCGTTAAAGTCCCGGCCCTAATAAATATATATATTTGTTAGTGCTCACAGACAAAATAAAAGCTAAAGGATTGTATTCGAAGAACACTATCAAAGATAAGCGAAGAGAAAAAACAGGACATATTTTATTAAATAAAATAATATATTAAGATAAATCACATATTTACATACCCAATAAGACACAAAAAATGGGGGTAAAAGGAGTCATTTACGAATAGAAATATAATTCCGATGTGAAAGTCTGGGAACATTGATGTTGAGCTTCTTCTTTTTTTATTGTGATACTGAACAATTGAAATGTAACCCCGCAGACATCGCCGTATGGAGGCTGTGCGTCTGAGAAAGGAAAACCAGATCTACAGTGCCGACGAGAAGCGAGCGCTGGCGTCCTTCAACCAGGAGGAGAGGAGGAAGAGGGAGAGCAAGATCCTGTCCAGCTTCAGGGAGATGGTGTACAGGAAGACCAAAGGCAAGGAGGAGAAGTGAACATCACATCTGTTTTTTATACCTTTACTTTTATCTTGAGGTATTATTCTTGTGTTTCGGGAGAATAACCCCATTCAGTTTGAGTTAAATGTGCAGTTTTGAGGAAGGTTTTTAACTGTAAAGATAAGTTTGTAACTGAGACTTTGAGAAGTACTTTGTCGTATTATATTCTCCATCCCATGTATTCACTGGAAAGTGTCTTCCCTTTTAATTAAATCTTTATTTTCTCTTGTAAATCATTTGCGAATCATCCTGATCAGAACATTCAATAAAATGTCAGTCAAGTTTTGGTTTTCACAGTTCTTCTTTCAATTTTGGTCCTTCTAAGAGAAACATTTCCAATCAATCATGAGTGAAAAAGCAAAGATATTAGAAACCTATGATACTATATTTTCATATATTTACAAAAACGTATTACATTTTAACCACCTAAAATAATCCTGTCTAGAATGTTTTTTGCCTTTCTTGTTTGTTATCAAATCACGACCTCCTCAAATTTTTCATAACCGGATTGATTAAATTATACCACGGTCCAATGATTGTGTTGACCTGACCTGCTCGGGTAAATATTACCGTTGGTATAGTTAAACTAGTTAAACATCAGTTCCTCTGCTTCACAAGTTCACTTTATTTTATCAATTTCCATCAGTTATATTTTTCAATAAATTGTCTTATGTCAGAAAAAAAATCTTAAAATGCACAACACCTCAAAAGACAAAGTGATGTCTTAAAAGTGTCTTGTGTGGTCCAAAAACTAATTTAAAAGAAAGCAGTAATTTCTCACATTTGAAAAATAATTTCCTAAATGAGAGAATCTAAATCATTGATTCCTTGCAGAGATTACCTTTTACACACATCAGATTCTACAGACTGACGAACACATCCATTTTAAAATCCTTCTGCACTGCTTGCTGTAAAATCTAATTTGAGAAAGCTTTGAAAGCCTTTATACCATGAGACATTTATATATATATATATATATATTACAGTTTCTAGTCTGTAGTGGCAATTTCTTATGTTACCTTATATGCTAAAACCAAATGCTTCTAAAAGCATTGTCCAACACCACTGTACCATTTCTTCATATTTGCTGTTTCATCTGTTTACTCTGAGGGTTATTATTCTCAAGCGCTTCAAGACCACAGGGCTGATTTGGCTGACTATGTTGAAACTACTCCTCTTCACACTAAGTTTCAACTTCCATAATTTGATGACTGTTGTACTTTCGATAGCTCAAGGACACAGGTGTCCAAATAGCGATATGAGACCGTGTGAAAGTGGATTTGAGGCGTTCCGCCATACAAAACTTTGTCTGCCCGCCCTCTTGTATATAAGCTTTGCTATTTTGTGACTATTGCGCACACTCCTGCAGACTACTCTGTACTCTGAGACATGTACCTTTGAAGCTTCAAATAAATAACCAGAAGACAACGCTGCTTGCTTTCACCAGTTTATTATTGATTACTCTCATTGTACATCTTTACAGTATTGACGAGTTTAAAATATCCACAACAAGTCTCACTAGTATGGATATTAATATATTCCTTGGGTTTCCCCTTGTGCGATATAAGATCTACAATATAAGCCCCCCCCAACACATGACAGGTGTAAAGGACCTCTTGTCTGTTGCTTTTGAAATTGACAAATGAGCCGAGAAGCCTCTGAAGATTTTCAGTGTGGAACAGTTTAATTAATAACAGGGACGATTGACTGAAAAAACAAACAGCTGGATGTTAAATATAATCTTTTATTGTACAACTTTCTTCTCATCAGGGTCCTTATATCCGTCATCATCAGTTGATGTTCTCGAGTCCCTGTTGAAAAAGAATAGGATTATATTTAAAAACAATTTAAACAAATATTAAACATTAACCAATCATTTCATTTTTTGAGGATATCCCTGCCTTCAAAACAGCTTTAGGTTTTAGTTTAGTTGACGAAGGTATGGAAATCATTATCTAGGCCAGAAGTTTAAGCATGTTCTGCTGTATGTAAACCTCAGTGTACGTGCTATTTTACAGGTTGGAAAATATGTCATTAGAAAGACATTTGACTACGTAAATCGTGCAAGAAGATACTAAACGATTCAACAAACGTAATCTTTGCTTATTTAATGTCTTATATTTGTTTCGCCTTGTCCTGTCAATGTCTTACTACAAGAGAGAGGTTGGAATCTGCTAGTTAGGTGAGGGATATGTTTTACTTCAAAACATACTAATAAATCCTCCAAACCTTTTTGCATTTCATATTAAACAAATGTATTTTTGTCTTAATGTTACTTACCAAATATGTAATATGGCATTTTACCTATAAATAGCAGTTCTTAACATTTCTACAGAACCCTTTCTGCATGTTGTTCTTTATTTGGGATCACTCAACAGCAGCCGTTCCCTTTCATCCGGAGTTAAATACTATTACAGAATGATACATCTTTAAAAAATAAATGACAATGCATTTATTATTTTCCACTTTCGTTTGTTTCCTGAAATTAATTTCCAGAAGACTCAAGGACAAAGTGATTTTTACCCTTAGAAATATTTGTATAATTATTCATTAAACCAAACGTTTGTTCTCATTTTTCCAGCAATTAAACTCAGCATTAAACATTTATTTTCACAATGTGCAGACATACACATTTCTACATTTTGGCTGAAAATGGGCACATCACTGAGATACAACCGTTTTTTAAATACATACACTTGCAATATTAATGCCAAGCTGAGAGACACACTGAGCTTATTGGGCAATAGAAGAAAAAAAGGACATTTATATTTTTAATCTACAAAATACAATATTTCGTTTGATTGCTATGCTCACTTTTCTCACAGAAGGTTATATTATGATTATCGACACATGGACACTAACCTTGGAGGCATGGTAGGTTTCAGTTCCCGACACCCGCTTGTCTCTCTCCATCAGATACCACTGCCACGGATGCCGAGCGATTCTCTTTTCCTGCAGGAGAACACAACAAGTATTTAATCAAGATGTTTTAAAGAACAAACATCCTGACAGCACTGTTAGCTTGTGTCTTATTAGCTACATTAGCATCCTGCTCACCTTTCCTCCGTTTGTGAACCTGTGTATATGTGTGGTGGCGATGCCGGGAATGATCAGACATATGGTCATGACCGCGAAACCGGGCAGGATTTCATACCACATGATTACAGCCGGAGACTTTCAGCCCACTGAGAGCAACTTTGATTACAACCGAGTCGCCCTAACAGTTTATTTAGCTAGGAAGCTAACAAAATGTCGACTCTCCTCTGACGACCTATGTTCATGTTCCGCTAGCAGAACAAGGAGAAGACTTCCTGTTGGGATTCTTTCAAAAATAAAAGTGATGAAAAACAATGTCATTTTTTACTTGCTACTCGACTATTTTTGCCGTCAAGCGTTATATACATTCAGATTTTCCTTTCGGTTCCTATATTAGATATACGGTTTTGAAATAGGCAATGCATTGGGAATTAGAGAAAGTACATTTAAGACTGTATCTGATACAGAATAATAACAGATACATTTAATCAGCAATAAACACTCATTGTAATCACTATTTCGTACACTCCTTTAGTTTGTGTGAAAATCCTATCACATACAAAATAGAGAGCTCTAAAGTATTATCTTAAACAACCCAGCTTTTATTTTGAAGGTTATAAAAAGGAAGTTGAATTTTCCCGATATCTAAAGTCATTAAAACAAAAAGAATACCTCAAAATAAATAACTTTCCAGTCGAATTAAAACTCATAGACAACAAATCGACACAACAAAAATGTGAAACAATTCAAATGATTTAAACGTAGAATTCACGTAATACGATTGTTTTCACTCTCATCGCCTCCCTCTGGTGGTAACGCCAAACTGCAGGTCCGACCAGAGGAAGTTACGGTTAGTTCTGTTGCTACCACACGGCTAACTTGCTAAAAAGTAAACAAGTGTGCGGAATGAGACGAAATACAATTACTTGACGAAGTAGATTTTCAACCATGAAGGAAGATAAGGAAAACGCTAGACCGAAGGATAGAAGAATGGAATTAAATTGTGAAGATGGAGAAAAGACGGAGAGGTCCAAGGAAAAGAAAGAGGCCATGACAAAGGTAGAACTTGCTAGCTTCGTTAGCTACAGTTGCTATACGTCAGTTCTTGTTATTTTTACGAGTTATCGTAACTATTTAAATAACAATATGTTTTTACTAGCTGTGTTTATTCTGATAAACAAAACATAGTCCACTTTGTAATGTTTATAGTGAGTTACACAAGTATTAATATGACTAACCCCAACTTTAAGTCAATATCAGTCATCCCATTTTATGTTAATTATGTTCCTACTTCTTTATTGCACAAGTAAAAAAACATTACAAAGAAGCAGTTTTTGGCAATGAAAATGTCCCTCGAACAGTGCTTTAAAAATAAATGTATTACAAAGTAAATTAGAACACTATAAGAAGTCTAAAATAAATCCTTAAATACATATAAAATAAATAAATATACATTAATGGTAGACAGTTGGCCTATTTAAAAAATGGTTAAACTGAATATAAACATGAATGTAGTATTAATTTCAATATACACTTTATTCTTATTTCACTTTTTGTATGTGTTATTTTCTTTACTTATCTGGATGTCTTTCTTTCCTTCCTTTCTTACCTTATCTTTATTTTTGTTCTCCCAGCTGTGATGGTATATTCAACTTTCAATTATTTCAAAGATTGTGATCAGACGGTTACCACCAAGTCTGACCAAGGAGGAGCTGGAGGAGCAGTTACAACCTCTCCCAGAGATGGACTACCTGGAGTTTTTCTCCAGCGACACCAGGTCATTTAATAAAAATATGTTTAATTATTTAAAAAAAGCATGTTATGACTCTAAACATGTAACCAACATTATTACTCTTTCCTTTCAGCCTTTTCCCACACCTCTTTGCAAGGGCTTACATAAACTTCAAGCACCAAGAGGATATAGTTCTCTTCAGAGATCGATTTGATGGTTATGTGTTCATTGACAGCAGAGGTATGAAGCTCACACATTTTTCCCTTTAATATTAAGGATTTCCCCGACATGGCTTGAGGTTAGTCCACATTTGTTTTTAAACAGGACAGGAGTATACTGCCGTCGTGGAATTTGCCCCTTTTCAAAAGACTGCCAAGAAAAGAAGTAAGAAAAAGGACGCAAAATGTGGAACAATTGATGAAGGTAAAAAATAATTCTATAAGAATATGTTATTAAGAGAAATATGGCGAGTATTTATTTGTCCTCTAAAAAAGCTAGAACGACTGTATCATTTTAAAATACTTGATATTTACATTAATATACAAATATGTTGTTTTCTTTCAGATCCTGATTACAATAAGTTTCTTGAAATTTACAACGGCGATGACGACAAGATGGCATCAACACCTGAGACCCTGCTGGAAGAGATTGAGGCCAAATCAAAGGAACTCGTTGGTATGTGAATAGTCCTGCAAATTAAAAAGTGCATCCAAAACATTATTTTGTATCTGTAGAACAAACACACTCTTGGAGGAAGGATTTCAAACATGTGTTTTTCTCAATTTAAGCTAAAAAAACAACTCCTCTGCTGGACTTCCTGAAGAATAAACAGGTACATTTAAAGGCGGGATAAAGCTATTAACGTTAAATTGCATGATCAGGGCTGGCTTCATGTTGTGTTTGAACACTTTTCAGAGAATCAGGGAGGAAAAGAAAGAAGAGAGAAGAAGGAGGGAGCTTGAACGCAAGCGTGTGCGTGATGAGGAGCGTCGCAAGTGGAGGGAGGAAGAGAGAAGGAAGCGCAAAGACACCGATAAGATGAAGAGACTCGACAAACCGCTGGAGAAAGACAAGGACCAAGTGAAAGAAGAACCAAAGATTAAGGTGTGTGCTGCAGTCAACTAAAGCAGTTTAAAAAGTTAAATCTCCAATATTTCATGATGTCTCCCTTTTGTTTTCAAATGTTTAGCTCCTGAAGAAGCCAGACAGAGCTGAAGATGCTGATTCTGAAAAGCCCAAGGAAAAAACCAAGAAACCAGAGAGGCCCAATAAAGAGGACCGACCCATGGGGGGTGCTGATCATAAGAGGCGTCAGCACATTGATAATAAGGAGGATCGAGGAAGGAAGTTAGTAGCTACAGTTATATGGTTTTTGAAAATGCATATCTCACCTTGAACAGAACACTCAGACAGGATTTGTGCTTCACACAGAGGTGAGGAAGACGGGAGGAAGGAGTTCAGGGAGCGCGACCCAGACCGAGACAGAGAGCGCGATGGAGAGCGGGAAAAGGAGCGCCGCCAGAGGGAGAAGGAGCGCCTCAGGCGACAGGACGAAGACCGCCGGAGAAGGAGAGAGCGCGAGAACACTTTCAGGAAGGAGAAAAGGCAGGATGAGGCTAAAAAGGATAAAGAGCGGGCCTTTGAGAAGAAGAAGGGAGATCACACTGGAGAGTCCAGTCGCTCTGAGAGGTCAGAGAGGCCTGCCAAAGACCACAAGAAGGAGGAGAGCCTGAAAAGAGATCGGCTACGAAACAAGGTAATGACTGTTTGGAAACCACATTCTAACATACTGCATACTGCATACTTGTATTCATACTGCCAATGAAATACTTCTTCTCTGAATAGCATAACCATATTACTATACATTTTTAGTTTATGATAACCATACTGTTATATTTAGAGCCAGTTACCTTTCAAATCAAGTTATATTTACAACCATTTTCAGTGTTATACTACACCTTAGCCAATCAAAAATAAAATGGAATTAAATGTCAGTATGCAATACTCAAAAAGGTTTGGCTTATCGTCACGGTTAATTGCACTTATCTTAACACGCCTTAGATAAAAGTGTCAGCTCAACGTACTGTAATGTATTTCTAAGAAAGTTGTTTTCTTACATCAGGACCGGCCTACCATTCAGCTGTACCAGCCCGGGTCCAGAACCCGCACTCGAGGAGGGGCCGAATCCAGCTCTGCCGACAGGAAGCCAGACACCGAGACGGAGAAAGTGGCTGACAAAGGAGACGATTGAGCAGATTTCTACTTATGGCATTTTAAGTTTGGTGAGGAGAGGGGAGACAGGCCTGTGAGGCTCGGAGCAGCAAGGTGGCGACTCAGGGCGACGGCACTGCAGCTCGAGCACCCGGCTCTCCCAGTCTCAGGGGCAGAGGAATGATTGCAGAGCCTAGCAGTGCCTGAATGTGTCCCTCTTTAGTTGTATTTGTTATGTAAGGTAACAGTAACCTTTGGAAAGAGTTTGGCTGTTGGGCACATTGGGTGAAGCCAAAGCTTTCTTGGACCACGTGAACTTAAAGTGACCTTATGTCAGTATTGTTTCTCTCATGTCAAGTGTTGCAAACGGTGTCTATTTAAACATTTTCATCCATATCACAGTTGTTAATTTACCAGTTACTCAAAATGTCATCAATGCTATCAATATTGTTCTACTCTGTCTTGAATGAGATTCTGTTTTAGCACTGACATTTTCAGTTTCAAGTGTTCACATGTTAATCTTCCTCTGCCTGGGGAACTTCAATTAAAGTCTGTAACTCTCATATTGTGTTATAGGCATCCACATATGCTGAAGTACATAGTCTGTATTTACAGGTTTGGGATCATGTGTTTTGTTCATACAGTGTCTGAGGAGAAATAGCCATTTCTGACTAGACTGCCATGTGACAGCCACTGTACGCCTGCATGCAAACTTCAATCAGAGGGATCAACCTGTGGCCTTCGCCCCTTTTTCTAATCTGAAATTCCCCTTAAACATTCATGCGTGATGCATCAAACTGAATACAGCATGAGAATGATGTAAACATAAAGAAAACATTTTTGACTGAATTAAAAGGTATTTGCTTAAATGTACATGTTTTGGTTTCTTTTATTAAAGTGTGGGACTTTGAGCTAATTCATAACACTGTAGATGTTTACTTTTGACACCTGTTCAAATATTCCTATGGTGGAATACGAAATGATTTTATTTCATTATTTGCAATATCCATAGTTTAAGAACTATATTTGAAAAATGCACCTCCCTCATGAACACAAAAAGACCTTAAATGCAGATCCTGCTTTAGCTGGGGATCTATTTCAGTGGCACACAAACAAATGTGCAATAGGATTTCCTAAAAGCAGCCACAAACTACTTAAAATAGTTTGATGTAGTCCCATCTATAGTATATATTTCTATTAGCTATTCATATGAATTATTTGTAAAGTGATGAGTAACTAGACGAGTAACATCCTATAGTAATAGAAGAATAACTAAGTATCAGATAAAGTACTTTAACAAAGGATAGAACATATACCTCAGCATATAATGATATATAACTGTTTTATAAAAGGAAAAACATACACACAGGGTGTGAAATGCATCACAAATTCAATTATTACAGACATAAATTAGGGTGAAAAGAGGAAACAAGGTCAATAAAATAAACAGATACATTTTGATTTATAGAATATAATCCACATGTTACAGAATATATGCAATATTATACACAGCTAAACAAAATTGCAATACCTGGCACATAATAAATAGCAATATTTTATTTTCACCATTTATAAATTGTTCATAAACTCTGAACAAGAGGTGAAACTTTTCAGCACATCAGGTTACCTTGGCGCACACATTATATTTTCATGTGAATATCTTGCCTATCCATCAGCTTGTAACATAAACTGTAGATGAGTGCAACAGGTCGTATAACATCTCAAGCCAGAGTCCATGCTGTAAAGACCATAGACTGGTAAAGACGCATCATGCCTGAAGGGCCTGAGATGCAGGTAAACATCCCCTCCACCTGGTGTCGCTGTCTGTAGAACGTTCAGCCCGTTCGGCGCGCGCTGATTGGATAAAAGCCCCGACGCTACATCCGTCTTTCTCTTCGACCACCGCCATAGTTCGGGAAAGGATTGTGGGCAAAATGGTAAATGCAAAATCTTTAAACATCCTTGTCTACAGCCCTTGTAAACCTGCACCAATATGTTGTGTGATTAATAGATGGATCAGGGGAACCTCACCCAGCTGTCTGTTCTCTAAAAAGATTGTATATGATGACTTAAAAGGGCTGCTAAAAAATGCTAGCCGGTACCCACTCTGTTGAGCTACGCATGTTAGCTTTAACTTCCTTAAGACATGCTAGATGCTTTCTTATAGTATTTTAAGTTTTATTTGAAGTTTTAGACATGCAGCATTGGTTTGTAAAAATGTGTTGACGTGGTGTTAATGGCGACCTTTGTTGTTTTTCCAGTCGTCCCACAAGACGTTTAGGATCAAGCGCTTCCTTGCCAAGAAGCAGAAACAGAACAGGCCCATTCCTCAGTGGATCAGAATGAAGACTGGAAACAAGATCAGGTGAGATTATAGTGTGTTTTTGTATACTGTGCATCATGTTTTGTGATGGTGGAAAAGCTTACGGTTTGTACATGTGGACACGCCGTATGGAAGTGGATTTGTAGTCATTGTGAGGTCACAGCAATTCACTTCTTTACACTTAGCGAGTGTATTGGGTACATCTATCTTGCATTGATGTAGGTTTTAACATACCATGCTCAAGAAATATCAAACATTTTTATAATTGCTACCATACTTCATTCTGGGTTGTAGCTGAAATGGATGGGGGGAGAACTTGCTCAAAGATGGAGCCATTAAGTGGTTGCCAAAACCAAACGATAGTCACATTATTTCTAAAAGCATCCATGTGGCTGAAGCGGCCTTATCTGTTTTGCATTGAATATTTTAAAAATATTTGGCTATTTTTTGGTACTCCGTTCATCAACTTATAATTGCTGCACTACTTTAAAGGCCGCTAAACTGCTTTGTCAGCATAATAGTACACAGAATAATATATACCTAGGCCTTACACTCAATATTTATAAGTAATGATACTACCACTACATAAGTGCTAGACATTTCCTCATGTAGCATTACCTTACTTTATTAATCCCCTTTATTTATTTTCTTGTGAGGTTAATTGGTACACCTTATGTATTCTACAGTTGGATGAAATAAACCCATCTAATATGTTACAACTAATGTTCAGTAATTAGTAAGATGACAGAAGTTGAAGTCACGTAAATGTCGTCCAAATATACTACTGCAATATCTTCAAGCGAGTACATTTCGGTTTAAGCTGTAATTGATGCTTTTAAGAGCCGGATTTATTGAATTCTGCATCATACTTGGATGTTTATTATAATCACCTCATAACTTCAACAGTAAAGTTTACTGAGTATTCAAAGGAAGAGTGAAATAGGAAAAACATCCTCCAAAGGTGTAGCAGATTATGTCCTGCATGAGAGGTCGTTGTGTGTTCTGTATTTATTTTATTATAAATGGTTTTAAAATCACTCTTAAGTGTTGAGCTGTCTCATCCCTAAGTGCAGAGAGATGCATAACTGGCTGGCTAATGCAGGTTAGAAGCAGGAACTTCATGTCATGTAAAGCAGGTCTGCAATTGCAGCACTCCATTTCATTAGAGTGTTGTCATTAATCCTGCTGAGAGTATCTCTGCTGCAGAGCCCTGATTCCAGCTCACCATGGTGGTGATGAGGAAGCTCTGTAGCTGAACATTCACTTAGTCCCAAATGGCTGATCTTTCCACATGTTCTCTTGGTAGATTTCCAAAATGTCTTGTATGGAACAAGTACACATGGCTACAATAATTAGATCCAAGTGAAAATAAATGATGCATGTATATTTGACCTCGGAGGTTAATTTATAACTTTATCACCCAGTTGTCAGGGTGGTGGCCTTTTGAAATCGGAGCAGCATCAACATTTTGCATAGCTTCAACTGAACCCGCCCTTCATTGGATTGTGTTTCTAATTTGAAATGCGAATCCTGGTATACTGTGTTTTAGACTAAAATACAATTCTGAAAATGTTACACTGCACAGATGACCTGTAAATATTGGCAAATACATTTCAAATGAAAATAATCACTGGTTGCATCCTTTAATCCACTAATAAATGGATATTTGTATTATACATTATGGTATTAAGTACTTGAACACTGCTAACCTCCTGCTTTTGATGTTGAATTTCAGGTACAATTCCAAGAGGAGACACTGGAGGAGGACCAAGCTTGGCTTGTAGACATGGGGGACCGTGGATCCCAGCCTCCCTCCATCCCAACATCTGCCAGGACCTCCAGCTGCTGGGCCTGAGCACCGGGGGAGCCATGTTATCTGGAGCAGCCGACGTTTTTTACATATACTCTGGTTATGCTCATGTTTGACAATAAAACATCTGTGATCAAACTTGATATAAGGCTTTGGGTCATCTTTTTCTAATCTATTTACAGAGTGTTATGAGAACCTCACATGGGGAGTGGTAATGCTGACACATTCTGCAGAAGAGGGGCTCTGTGAAAGGAAGGGGTTTCACTCTTGACCACAGCACAGCTTGTTTTTTTTTTATGGGAGATCGTAGCTATTTGTAGTTGGTTAGAATCTGAACTCTGACTTCGTTACTTGTGCCAGAGACAGCAATGCTATTTAAGAATTGTAATCTAGTAGCAAGGCCTACGATATGTTTACCCAAGTGGTAAAACTGGAAAAAATATGCCACATCAGCGAACAGGAACATGTAGTTGACAAGCAGTGCTGGTTCAGCAGCAAGACGTGTTTAGAAAAAGGCTCTGTACAGGCAGTAGGCTTTATTATTTGGGTTCAATGAGTTGCCACAATCATTTATTGAAGTGCAGTACATCAAATGGATGCTTTTCTGTGAGTGTGAATAGAAACATTGATGCCCTATACTAAGGGTTAAAAATAGTGCAGTGATCACTTAAAGACAAGCTATCTATTTGACATGGTGTACAAATGAGTAACGAGCAGTTACATTTAAAGGCATGAGGTAAGTATTTTAAAGTCATTGACGAAGGCAAACATTAGAAAACTGTTATCCCTTTTGGATCACAAACATTCAACAGGAAATCAAACTAAATATTAAAACTAGTAATAAGTGTTGATTTTAAAGAGCAACACTGCCCTATAATGAGCATTTTGATGAATACTCAAGTAGCCTACTCCAAGACTTTTACAGATATAGGCAGAATTTGCTTCATTACACTGGAAACTGAAGATAATGTAAAATAATTCACATATTTGAAGGCCTGTCAAACACTCAGCTTTTGTTTCCAAGAAATGAAAAGGATGGTAGCAGCTTCCTTAAAGAGCCAAACCCCCAGCTGCCCCCCCTCTTAGTCCGGTCGAAGGAGTGCATATCTGTCTCTCCATGATCGACCTCATCATATGCGGTCAAGTTCATTGAGCCAGCGCTGTTGTTGACGTTTTTGTAGACATTTTGTGCACATCCTTCGCAGCTGTGCTCGTCATCCCAGGTCCCCAGCAGCTCCTTCATCTCAGGCGGGGCGTCTCCCGGCAGATACTGCCAGGCTCTCTTCCCATTGTAGTCCATGGCATCTACGTTGGCACTGAAGGCTCCGACCAGCAGCTTGATGACCATGAAGTGTCTGTGCTGGCTGGCCACATGCAGCGGGGTCAGCCCGCCGCTGCCCTGCACATTCACGTTCACCGGGATCCCCGCATCTTGTGCGAACCGCAAAAGTTTGAGCAGAGTCTCGTCCTGTCCTCTCTTTGCCAGCCAATGCAGCACCGAGTACCCGCTGATGAAATCCCTCCTGTTCAACAGACAGGGGTCCTCGGAGATGAATTCCAGGAGGGTTTCATAGTTCCCCTCCACTGCAGACAACATCCAGGCGTGCTCCATCGCATACAGCGCCCAGTCTGCGGCGTCCTGCTCGGAACACACACTGTAGGTCTGTGAAAGCACGCTGCTCAGCCCGCTGTGCGACGGTTTGCCCAAAAGCAACTCTTTCAGGTATTTCTTACGCATAGCGGGTGTGAGAGAGCTTCTCTCCGGATCCTCCCTCTGGTGTGCCCCCGGCTCGCAGCTGTTAGTGACCTCCAGCTGCCTCTGCGGCCGCGACCTACGCTGGAAAGCGCTGGGCATGACCTGCATGCCATACCGAGAGAGTCGCTCCACAACGCTGCCCTGTCTGGACCTCCGGCTGCCGTGGGTGTCGGTGTTACTGACCGCTGGTCCACGGCCAGCTTCACCCGATCTGCCCTCATTCATGCTGCCCGAGTGAGCTCAACGCTACTTCCTTTATTTTAGACAACACCCCGAAGATATCAGTGTCAATTTATCAGCTGGGGACAGTTTCCCTCAACTCCACTCATTCCTATCATGGGAGGAAACGGTTTATTAATATATGTAGGCCTATAAACTCATGTCTCAACACCCAGTCATGTATTCTAATAGTCTTAACATTATGTCAAGTTCCTCATTTGAAAGTATATTACACAACAAGAATGCATTCCTTTAGTACGATACTCCCCCCACTCACGTCAATTCTACGCACCTGTGTCCAAAGTCCTTCCAATTGTTTCGACCATTAAACCTTAGTATTCCCCTTCCAGTGTTGTGGGTGAAGAGACAATATATGGATTTATGGTTCAAGGATTTCTCAAGCTATAGAGCCAATTTGATATCCTCTTTTCCTTTACAAGAGGAACTGAGACAAAGTTCATTCTAATCTCAGGCTACACCAATAGGGAAATTGCAGCATGTGACCACTGATAGACTTCAAAAGCAGGAAGTAAAAACATTGTTACTCCCTCGACACTTAACCAGCCAGTCACCCATTATAAAGAAACACTGTAGAGCAAATAGAAGAGGTAAAAGGGACAAACTTTATTAAAAAAAAAAAAGTAAAAATGTTGCCATAACAAAAACACGCATCAACATTTAGTCAGTAAAAGATTCTGACGGAAGTTCAACTGTCAGCTCATCAAGTGTTTGTAGAAAAGCGTCCAGTGCTGAGCAATCGTCTGGAGAGGGGAAATAATCTGGCGAGGGGAAAATACAGCAAAGTTAATCATAGAGCAGGTTAATGATACCTGTAGTTTTAAACCTGTGCACCATACTTAATGGCTACACCTGCTAGACAATTGTAGCTTATTCAATGCTGCCATTAAAAGCTTTCCCATTCAGGTGAGATAATGTTGCCCGAAGCCTACTTTTTGGAATGCATACACTAGTAAATTATTAAAATGTGATGCTTTAGCCAAAACAATCTGCACTTTCATTAATAAACAGATTTCAGTTATGGCATGAAATTACATATACTGTGATAACATTGTATCCATCCTGTACTTCAGAGAATTTAACATTAACCAATGCTCATGTTTTTGAATCCATAAATATGGGTGTGAAGTCAATACCTGAACGATTTGGCATTTTTACAGGTGACAGGTTTGGAAGTGGGGCAATCTCAATAAAGTCCTCCTCAAACAGGTCTGGAGCCTGTGGGAAACGGGCCAAACCAGGCAGAGCAAAGCTACCGAGAGGAATCAAGTCCTCGGGTATGCTGTACCTCTCAAACTCTGGAGGAAAAAAAAAACACCACAACTTTTTTCAAATACATGTTTCAAAACTGTAACAAAGCAACCGCATGAGGGGAAATGAACATTATACATGTTGACCCATTAACATGTGCATTTTTCTTATGTACAGACGGGCCTCAAAGAGCCGAGTCCTGAGGGGAATTATTGGACTCAAGGAATCAAAGCTAAGCAGAAGATGCAGTGATTTACACAGAAAGTCTGTTCTGATTGTGAGGATGATCTATAAACTCTGACTTTCATACCAAAAATGAATGAACTCTAACAAAACTGTCAGTGATGAAAGTGTTAATTACCTAGCGGGTCATAAGGGATGCACTTTTCAATTTCTGCATAGTCCTCCACTTTGGTCTTCTGTTCTGAAGCATGCGTGACTTTGGTTTCCTGTAGGGAACAAAAGATTGTGTCAACACACGTGTTGTTTGAGGCATTAAACACAAGATAGCCCGAGTACTTTCTGAAATTGTAACTTCTGTAATTTATTCCAACCTGTGGTTTTAGGGTTTTCTTCTCTTGTGTGTTTCTAGCAGGGGTTGACATATTTTGGTTCATAGCACCAAAAGCTTTGCGACGACTTGGCGTGATTAAACTGTTGGAAGTCATTGAACATCCAAGTTGTTCTAGTTGGGGGGGGAGGGAAGCAAAATATTGAACCATGTTTCTATACGGATCAATATTACTGCTAGAAGAAAAAGAAAAATCTTCAAAAATCACAAGGTTGGCACTCATACCTGGAGCTGACTGAATCCGCTGGCGCATCTTCAGTGTAGGCGGATGAAGACTTGCCATTTCACGCTCGGCAAAGATTATATGGGCCATTGTATCTGAAAACACAATCTGATATTAGCTACTGCATGACATAATGTATCACCATGGAAGAGACTCTGCTGTGGCAGACATTTCGACACATAGCAAGAGGAGCATAGGCAACATTGCTGCCTTCACATGGCTATTTTTTGCAAGTGCAGGCTAATGTGACACTTGGAACAAAACCATCATTAATGCTTTTGGAGCCGAATCAGTGAAGTAATGTTATCAGCAGAACATGGGAAACAATATCGATATCAATTCTAGTCATATTTACACAAACACCAAGGCTTGGCTCTTTATCTTGAATACGATGGATCGGGGGATCAGGTCCTGTGAAATCATAACTAGTTCTAGTAGTCCCTGTGGCCGTGTTTACTCAGCATCTGACTCACAACATTTAGGAATAGTAAAGTGTACTGCAAATAATAGCCAATATGGCAGTGTTACAGCACTCAACAGATGTAGCTACCATTAATGAAAGACACTGACTCTCGTTTGGCAAGTTGGCTGTCTACCCAAATATTCCGTTTTTCATGTAACACTTCACTCTACATCTTCATGATTGTTCTGTATTAAGCTCAATAAAATCAAACTTAGTTTTTATTTGTTTTTCTCATAGAAACGTTACATAAAACCTTTGCAAACATAACAAGCACTATGCTAACAATAATTAGCTTACTTACAATGGTCACATTTAACCATAACTAGCCAACATAGTGCCACATGACAGGGAGCTAATAAAGGGTCGATTAACCTTCCGTTTACATATTGAGGTCAAGTTATTGAACTATTCTTGAGCTAAATATAAGACAGTTAGTTTAGCTTAGTTAGTTAGCTTGCGTTAGGCATCTTATTTTCATTATCCCTTTTCTAAAACGTAAAAGTGTTAACAAAAGACGCAACAGTAACGTTGATACACAGGTGTTAGCAATTAACGTTACCTCGGTGTCGTTAGCGTCTTCGGTTGCTGCTTTAGCTCTCGAACCTCTGAGTTGTTATGATCTGGTCGTAGATTCTGAGTGACCGCGGCTCCTTTTTAAATTCGCTGCCTTCTTTCTATTGGTCGATGTAGCACAGAGGATTTGAATGGGCGTTACCAACAAAATAATTTGCACTACATATGGATTAAATAAAGGTTGATTAATAATCATAAGGTGGAACATCTTATATGTAAGTAGTTAATATTTTAAAGTCATGTGAAAAAATTGTAATAATGAGAGTTTTTGACAGTAACCACAAAGTAATTAAAACCGTTTGTAACGTTCACTGACTGTGGTTCACTGCCATTCGCACTGGACGACATCATTACGACCTTCTGTGGGGGAGATCAGTGGCCAGTGCTTTTTAAAAATCATATTAAGTTGACTTCTATATAAAAAAAACGAGGCGGATTGTTTATAATTGTAATATTTAAATAGCACCCAATGTGATCCCTGTCATCACATTATAATATGATTGCAAAATATCCCTTTGAACAATGGTACATTCCCAGTAGGCCATCTTTCGGTGTAACTTGAACGTTGCAGCTTCCTCTGCTAACAGAGAGTAGTAGATGTTCCGTCCTCCACCTAGCAGCTACCACCATGGCGTCAACTGAGATAGCAAGGCAAGCGGTGAGTAGCCTCATTTTACTCCATTGTCACTATGAACATAAATCTCTGTTATTTCTTTGCTGGCCTATATAATATGAAATATATAATTTTAGCGTTACGAGGTAGAATTTAATTTGGAATAGGTAAACGCAAGCTATCATCCGTGTTTCGTGGTTTTATTGAAACCCAAATTGAATGTAACGTTGCTAATGAAACGACATATGGTGGCGGTTATCTATCACAAATCTGATGGTGCGTTTCTAAATCTTTAAGTATATCCGGTTTTAAAGTAAGGCCTGCTCATTCGTTACATTCTTTGAAATATATTCATTCAGGTATTTACATTGTTGTAAGCTAACGCCTACAGATATCCTGTGCTGATGAGCTTAACATACCTTTCAAACTAAATGGTGTTTTGTTAAATGTACTGTGTTAAAGACTTTGTTGTAGACCCCTTATTAGCTAACTGATAATAAATCCATCGGTAGTAGGCCATTCATTCTTAACGCCCCCATTTCAGCTCAGCTACGGTGCTCATTTCCGTTATGTTGTTTCATGCAAGTCCCGTTAACTTTCATTCGGGCGTTGTCTTATATTCATAGAAAACATGGACAAAACGGAGCCAGTTATATACATTTAGTCCGTGCAATTTTACAATATTGTGTAAAGTGTGCTCGTTTCTTTTATTTAAGTGGAAAAGAAAGCCTCTACACCAAAAAAAGTGCCCAGAATAGCAAGGTTTTGCACTTTGATTTCCATTGTGGCCACACAAAATGAAAATGATTGAGAAAACCTTCTGTGTGTAACTTGGCTGTGAGTGTTTTAAAAAGCAGGAAAGGTTTCAGGAATGTTGCACTTGCAGCTGAAGAGGAAATGCTGTTTGTTTAGTCACAATACCCCCAGTTTCCCAAATACTCCATCAGCTGTTTAAACCCAATTTCAACTATCCAAATAATCCACAACTGTCAAGTAGCATCTGCTTGACCCGTTTATTTTAAACTGACCCGCAAACGGAATGTTTTCCTGTCAAAGCCACATTGAAAAGCAACAGTGTGTTACGCTAAGCCACATAATGGCTGGTTGGTTGAGGTTTAGCTGGTTTAGAGCTCTTGCTTTGCCATATAATCTAAATTCTTTGCTTTCCTGCACCTCATAATGCAGACGTGGGCTGCAGAAATGAGATTCGCAGGGATTGAGATACTCACCAGCAGCCACCCGCCCACACACACATGTAACAACAGTGCTTTTACACATTGGTGTTTGGTGTCACTCTGGTCCAGAGATAGACTGTGGACAAACAGAGTAAAGTAGATTGAAAGGGAAGTGCAACTGGCCAAAAATAGGGAGTTTAAGGGTTCAAGTCAAAGTGAAACCTCAAAAACCAAAAATGCTAGCTGTATTAACTTGACTCAATCAGCTTTAAGTGATATATTTATTGTCAAAGCTTTCTGTTTAGTTTTTTCTATTATCTTGACACATACGACAATGCCTTTCCATATATGTACACTGTGGTTTTGAACTGTCTCGTCTGTGGGAAGAAAGTTACTGCTCAGCAAACAGGAAGTGAGCAACATTGCACCTGAAATCAGACTAAAAAATGTAGAGCAAATATGGTGGAAGGTGTGGATACGAGGAAATACAAATGTTTTTTTAAATATGTTGTTATTTATCCACTTAACAACCATTTACAGAGTTGTAAATGTTCATTATAAAGTGTTAAATAGAAGTCTGTGCATTTGTACAGAAATGAGAACACAGTGCCGTAACAAGGCAAATTAATGCAATGTCAGTGACATGATGTTGTTATGTTGATTTCCTTTTATTTTAGGGTGAAGGTGCTCGCGCTGTCCCTCTGGCAGGCCATGTCGGCTTTGATAGCATGCCTGACCAGTTGGTCAATAAATCTGTCAACCACGGATTCTGCTTCAACATCCTCTGTGTTGGTGAGTATGTCATGCGTGAAAATGCTTTTACTCTCTCTTTCTCCTTGGGCTAAAATACTAATTATTTGCTTCAATGAAAGTCAGGCTTTCCCACAAGATGCAAAGCATGTTGCTCAGTATTTGATGCGCTTAGATTCCTTCGGGCAAGTCAGCATTGACTGCCATGATGAGTAAGATGCTCTGGGTTAAGATAGGAACTTCATTATTTAATTTAAGTGTACATTTTTTGTATCAGTATGGCTGTCACACTATACAGAGCAAGTCTTTTGCTGGATTTGTGAGAACACTGAGAAATGGTGCCTGAGTTGTTTTATATGGACAAGTCAGTTCGGCTTCAATAAGTGCTTGGATTATTCTGTCAAATACACTCGGGTACCTTTTTATTAGGTGCACTCAAAATACAACTAATGAAATCTAATACGACAGTCCCTCACTAAACCCGAGCTTTTTGCAAACGATGATTCAGTTTGTGTTCAAGATGGCGTTGGTAGGCGTTGATAAAACTTTACGGCCATTTTTGGTGCTGTTTTCATTTCAGTGTGTTCTGGATAATACAAAGCTTTGCTTATATTTTCCCACTTTACGTGTATAAATGAGTGCTGGTTAGAACTTCAGATGTTTAGGCAACATTGCATTACTGCCCGCCACACACAGTCCAACTATATTTGTTATTTGGAATTATGTTGTTTCAGTGGCACATCAAATTGCCAAGCAGCAATGGAAAAGTACATGTTTTTTTCCCCACATTTTGGTTTGTTTTTCCCAATTACACCTTCTAATGTTAGTCTACACAGAGAGGAAGGCATGCCACCAACACACTGAACTCTAGACGGATATTTCCTAGATCACATTTCTGGTGATGCTACAGTTTTACTACCAGTAGTAGCAAACATGACAATTTGGGTTCTAAGACCCTGTATGCTATCTATTTTAGGATGTGTTCCTATTTAGAGGTCTAGTTACATAACTACAATGTGTGTCTTTAAAGATTTTCATGAAAGGAAATGCCTGGTGGGCATTTCTAGTGGCATGGTTTTGACTCGCCTCCAAGCTGAAACTATTTTGTGGTGTCTATATCTGTGTATGAGTGAAAGGCAAACAACAATGTGTTACTCAGAATTTACACAAACCATATTTATTTGGTGGTAATACTAATACTAAGCTCTCTTGAGAAATATAAGTACAAACCAGTCCAGAATATGGAGCCAAAAATGATGCTATACACTAAGAATAGCATTTGTTGTAGACAGCAAATGCTATTGTGTGACTCACAAGTGCAGCGGTTCAAAGTAGTACAAGCATTGCTTGAGGCAAAGACAAGTGATCTTGTGATTTGTATAATTTGGTTGTGGTTTAAATTTCAAAGAGGGAATCAAAGATGTAGAGGTGTTTGTTTCCATTGAGCTAAAAGATGATTGGCATTACTGCATGCTTAGTTATTGAGGATTGTTTTGCAACTCTTTCCTGTTTACCCCTTAGCTTCTAGGTGGCCAGATTGCCTTCAGCATGAGAGACTGACTAAAACTGAGGTCAGAAACAGGCAAAGTGACCGTTGATGCATCAGTTTCTGTGGATTATGACAGAACGATAAGATTTGGATCATACAGAGATATCCTATTAAAATAGGCTAGCATGCTTAGACTGTAGGTCAGGCTCAGTTGAATAAAAATAGAATTTCTTACACAGGGAGCTCTGAATCTGAGTCATCTGACTGCCTCTCAAAGTAATGGAGGATTCATCAGTAGATAACAAGCCTCTCCTTCTGCTATTTTGAAAATTACATGTTTAGCTTGTCATTCTACAACACTGGGTTGCAACAGAATGCAATTGTATTCTATTTATGCTACACAAGAAAAACAAAACAAAATCAATGAATTTTTTGAACTGTAATCAAAGTGAGTTTAGGGTTAAATTAATCCGAAGCTGACCATGCGTCAAGATCATTAAATATTTGTTAATTTTGAAGGATGCAGGGCAAAGGGATAGACACTAATACAAATTGCCTCACAAAGGTGTCTATTAGAAACATTTCCCATATAAAATTGCTTGAATCTTTTAACAGAATGTGCGTAAACCTTGTCTGTTTCTTGCCTTTTTTTTATCAGTTCACAAGTAACTGTTAATGTATTTAGATTTTTGATCAATACTCTAGATGCTGTGTATCTTTAAAAATGATAGATATTGCCGTGTTAGTGGAGTTGGAGTACACATTTTAGTGTGAAGGAAACCGCAATCAATGTCTCTGCGATCCCAGTAACATGAGGCATTTTCTCTGTGTTTCCTAGGTGAGACGGGTCTGGGGAAGTCCACCCTCATGGACACATTGTTCAACACCAAGTTTGAGGGCGAGCCCACCCAGCACAACCAGCCGGGAGTCACGCTGAAGTCCAACACCTACGAGCTCCAGGAGAGTAACGTGCGCCTCAAACTCACCGTCGTCAACACGGTGGGATTCGGAGACCAAATCAACAAAGAGGACAGGTAAATGGTACTGGACACATGGCCCCAGT